TGTTAATATATGTTCCATGACCCAGAACATGATTTTTCTTGGCAAATGCTTTCTATGTGTTCCATTGAAAAGAATATGTATTCTGCTATCGAAGGGGAGAGTGCTCTAAAAATATCAATTAGGTTAATTTGTTTGTTGTTTAGGTCTTGTATGTTCCTGATGATTTTTCATCTACTTGTTCTACAGATTACTGAGCAAGGGATGTTGAAGTCTTCGAGTATAGTTGTGGATTTGCCTATTTTTTCCCTTTCATTTCTGTTTTTCTTCATGCATTTTGAAACTCTGTTGCTGGATACATACATATTTAAGATTGTTATAGCATATTGTTTAATTGATCTTTTAATTATATAATTTCTTTCTCCATACTGTCCTCCATAGTATTCCTTGTTCTGAAGACTGAGTTATGTAGTAATATAACCCTTCATATGCCATCTTCTCTTCCTCCTTTTAAAAAATGTTTACATAATATGTTTTTCAATCCTATTATTTTTAACTCATCTACATCTTTATAATAAAGTTATTATATTAGAAAAAATAAAGGTAGATGCCTACTTCACACCAACAAAAACAATTATTTGCAAAAGGAGAAAAGTGCTACATTTACATATATATCGGGTAAAATTAATTTTATCAAGATTCAAAATACAGACTTTTCATCTATTATATACTAATAATAATCATAGATGCTAACTCAATTCAGAGAAAAATGGTTAAATATTTTGACTTTGGTAGGCACAAGAAATTTTAAAAATTAAAGTATTTTTGTTGTAGGTGTTTATAATGAGCAAAAAATTTTAAAGCTTATATATTTTTTACTTTGGGATAAAATTCTTTGAGGGAAATGTAATGATATTATAAGAATAAGAAAGAATAAAGTAAAATTTCTGTTAAAGCAAGTTTATATATATTCATATATACATAAAAGCTTTTTTATATAAAAAGCTTTTATGTATATATCTACATTATATTAAAAAACTTGCTTATTTTTTAATGATTGAAGGTAACAAATTACTATAATATTTAAATTCCATTGGATAGCTGGAGCTCAGTAATTTTTAATGCTATTATATACTAAATTCTAAAAAATTATACCCTTTTTCATCATATATAAATATATAATTAAAATTTTGGATGTCAATTTAAAATTTTGGAAACAATGGACTTTTCTATCCTCTGCTATACTATTTATAGTACTATAAATGTTTTTTAAATATTTTTTCCTTTTTTGAGAATGCAGGTAATTGAGAGTAAAGACCATGTTTCCTGATCTTTTAACCAAATAGCTGCTAGTTTATAATAGGAGCTTAGTTAAGATAAACTGAATTAAATTATTTTTATTTTCATTAAAAGGAGTTATTTATTCTTTTTCAACTCTTCTTTAGCCTTAAGTTAGGTTTTTTTTTTACTACCGATAACAAAACAACTACCAGATGGAACTAAAATTTGGGTTAAAAAATAGTTCCCATTTTATCCCTGAAATGAGAATAAGGAAAATACTGCAAGAAAGAAACAAATAGTAAACCAATATCAATTTTAAATAATATGGTTATTTTCAGCCAGGTATAGTGGCACATGTCTGAGTTCAAAGCCAGCCTCAGCAACTAGGAGGCGCTAAGCAACTCAGTGAGACCCTGTCTCTAAAAAAAAAAAAAAAAAAAAAAACACTAGGACTGGGGATGTGTGGTTGAGTGTCCCTGGGTACTAGGACTGGGGATGTGTGGTTGAGTGTCCCTGGGTTCAATCCCCAGCACCGTCTCTCTCTCTCTCTCTCTCTCTCTCTATATATATATATATATATATATATATGAATGAAACATGTCTATTGACACAAAACAATAGTGTTTCATAATCCTTTTTAAAACACACCATGAACTGGGGTTGTGGCTCAGAGGTAGAATGCTCACCTAGCATGCGTGAGACACTGGGTTCAATCATCAGCACCATATATAGTAAAAAAAGTAATGAATATTAAAAAAAAAACCCACACCAAATTATGTTCAGAGTGGTTGGCAATAAACTTTTTCTCCTTGGGTTTCTAATGTAGAATTTTAATGAAAAAATTATACACACACACACACACACACACATATTTCAGCTTTCTACACAGCAACTCTGCTTAAGACACTGTAAGCACAAATGTTGCCTAACATTGTTTTATTTGTTGCATATAAAATAATTAAGTAGCAATAAGGAATAGTGTATGCGTGTATGCTGGTTTACATGTCATTAGCACTTTTACAATTTTTGAGAATCATCAACAGGTTTAGTCTTTTCCTGTGATCATAATAGTATTAAATTTCATTTAATTGTGATATACAACATTTTGTTTTGTGTTTAATATTATCCAGAGAAATAATATTACACATATACTGCTTAGAAATAACATAACTTAGACAAAAGCAAATGTTAAAAATAAAATAAAAACTCTTAAAGCCTTACTAGGAAATGTTAAGTTTAGGTTTAGAAATTAGAAAGATGAATATCACCCCTGGTTCTTAACATTCTCTTGTTTTGAAATTATTCAAGTAAGAAAATATTATCTTTAACTTATAAAACTCCTTTTAGTCAAAAGAAAAATTTTAACTCTCATATATGATAACCTAATACTAAATCTAGGTAACACTTATTGAGCACCCCCTTTAATCCAGGCACTGTGCTTAGCACTTGATATTTAATCCTCATGGCAATTCTCTGAGGTAGGTAACATCATTGTGCCCACCTTCCATGAGCCTGGTTCATGGAAGGCAATAGACACAGATGGGACACTAATACCCTGGTCTTCCTGAATTCGCCCTTAGGATGCAAATCTTTGAGATGGAGGAACTGAACCATGTCTGATTGTATCTTAGCGTTCACTGCAGTGCGACAGTGTAGAGGAAAGCAGGGAGTAGGAAGTTAGACAGCCCAGTCCTAGGTGCAAGAACTAGACGCAGCCAGTGAATGGATAGACCAGAAAGCGTGATCATGCTTCATAGAAGCTAAGAGAAAAGTTGCATTTGTAAGGAACTTAGAACATAAAATACCTTCCATAAAAATAATACTTGGATCTTATAAAAAACAATACTCGTAAATGTTCAAATTCACATCTCATTTTCCTGGGGCTAAATCTAGATATCACCTGTTTTATTATTTACTATGGAGTATACYGTGAAGACCTAGGGATTTTTATTATGTTAAGCTGTTTTTTGGATCCTCCTATAAAGTTTTATTAGCAGCTTATTTTCCCTTAATATTTATTATTGGTGGATTCTGTATCCTTAGATTAAAAATATATGTTTTCTCTAAATTGTGTCTCTATTGATCATATACAGGTATTTTTCCTTGTCATTATTTTCTAAACAACATAGTACAATAACTGGATATGTTATATTATCTTTTAAGTAATTTAGAGATGATTTAAAGTTTATTAAGAGGATGTGTGTAGGTTATATTCAGATACTATACCATTTTATCCAAAGGATCTGAGCATCTGCAGATTATGGTATCTGCAGGGGTGGGATGGAGTTTGGGAACCAGTCCCTCATGGATACAAGGTACAATAATATCTGCCAGGAAACAATTATGGAAAGGAAACACAGTTAGGTATTTCTATTTCTCTGAGGCAGAAAACTTCAGAATCTGAATATCTGTTTTTTGTGTGTCCATCAAAATAACTAATTAGAACTTAAAAGTAGTCTTTGTAATTCTTTTTTTAAAAACCTTTTACTGCTTTATTCTGGTAGTAAATGAAATCAGGAATCATGATTTGATATAAATCACATCCATCCCTATAAAGATACTAAACTCCTTTATCATTGCAATTTTGAATTTTCCAAAGGCCATCAGCAACCTGAGGTAGAAGACAGAAGCCACCAATGAACCATTTTCCTGCTCTTGCCCTATTCAGAGTCTCTGCATTTTTGTTCAGAGTCCAGCTCATTTTGACTGCTTCCTAAAGTCCTAAGTGAAAATAGTTTCTTTTTCTTTTTCTTTTTTTTCCCCCAAATTGGCCCCAAAGGAAAAAAATTGAAATGAGAAGAAATAATTTCATCTTGTTTGAAGTGCCAAGTTACATACACGTGAACAACTTTCATCAAGGGGGAAGTAACAGAACAACAACAAAAAAAAAAAAAAAAGAAAGAAAGAAAGGAAAATATTCAGTGGGGTTCTTTCTCTCTTAAGTACTTTATAAAAAGTGCTTTTCTTCAATGCACATTAAAGTAAACATAAAGAGATTATTCAGTATCCCACTTTATGGGGAAAACAGTTTGGAGGCATTTTAGTTCCCACAAACTCTTTAGTATCCATCAGAAGTGTGCTTCCATAATTGTAAAATTCACTGTAAGCTGAAGTTTGTTTAATCATTGTTCCTTTTCAATTTGCCAAAAAGGTCAAAGCACTTAGAACCGTGCCTGCACATTTGTAGCATACAACACAGAGCAGTAGAATAGGGTAGATGGGATCTGTTAATTATTCAGACAAAGAAGAAAAAGTCAAATGGGGATGATTGTCCTGTGTTAGGGAACTCATTGTTTCCAAGAGAATTAAATTAGGGAATTTGATCAAATCTGAAACTGAAAATTCATGAAGTTTCAGAATCCCACCCTTAGGAAGTTTTTAACTTATTTTGAGACATACTAATTCAGAAAATATTTTTTAAAAGAGCGATCCTCTCCTAGATTTTCCTAAGTAAGGTTGATCCAACTTATTAGAGATATGAGAGATACATAAAATGCCTGACTCGTGATTGAGAGTATTTTATAACAGCTCAAACAACCAGGCTATACTCAATTTAAAAGTAAAACAAAAGAATTGAACCTGCAAGAAATTAACATGGTTTTGAAATAGATGTTAATAATAACTGATAATTCAGGGTATATAACCAGTTAAATTTTTTTGAATGTTCAACATTGCAAAAAACCATTTGGTCATCAAAGGAACTAAAATGATTTTTTTTCTGAGTACTAAATTAAGCTTTTTCTTTATAAACATATTTTAATGAACCCAAAATATCCCACATGAAAATACAAAAAAAAATAGTATTTTAAGCAAAATAGAAGTTCAAATACACAAGAAAGAAGCTGAGTGAGAGAAATGAAAGTTAATTTAACATGAATCATACTTCCACTACCTGTAACTCCCTTAGAATGAGATTAGTAAGAAAATTCCAGTTTAATCAGATTTAACTATATAAATGACAGTTGTATCCTTGGTCTTCTAGTCCTGTGCTTCGTGAAGCAATAATATCATACCTTAAAAGCCTTTCAAATTTAAGGAAGCATTATTATTTAAAAAATAGGGGTCAGAAGATTAGGACATACTTGCTTTTGACAGTAGCAAAATGAGCTACCCTTTTTGGTTTACTTAATTACAGAGTTTTCCCATCAAAAATATATTCTTTAAATTATAAAAATACTTTCTGTGGTAATATTTGTTGATATTTCTGATCAGAGCCTACCAAACTCTAAAAAAATAAAGCATACTTGAAGATGTAGATACAAAATTCTCAAGGAGTCACTTAAAAACAGTTTCCTTCCTGTTCATATAAAAAAGCAGTCATCTTTACGCAGTCTCTGTAGCTCCAAGGAATTCCATTTCTACAGCCGCTTTTGGCCTTCGGGCTGAGCCACTCTTCTTTCGAAACTCTGCAGCGATTTCCTCAAAAGACTTTCCCTTGGTTTCTGGAACTTTAAAAAACGTAAACACTATAAAGGCCAGGACCACCCCAGAAAAAAGGAAAAACACATAAGGTCCACAGAAGTCCTGGATGAAGAACAAACACAGAGGTCCAATTAGCAGCGGTTTGACCCATCTCCTGCTCGGTAAATTTGCACAGCATCAGGCTACTTACCGCAATGTACTGGAAACACAGAGCTACAAGGAAATTGCAGAACCAATTGCTGAATGCAGCTAGTGCTAAAGCGGTGGGGCGTGGTCCTTGACTGAAAAACTCAGCCACCATGAACCAGGGGATGGGGCCTGGTCCAATTTCAAAGAAACTGACAAAGAGGAAGATGGCCGTCATGCTCACGTAACTCATCCAAGCAAACTTATCCTAAAGAAAAAAGCAAAACAAGATCAAAAGTGGGGCTGGGCTCACTGGCTGCTGTTTCCTTTAGCTAAGTGACCCCTCTGAGTTCAGAGGTGGACACAGCTCTCTTCCTAATGTGTTTATGTTCTGTTGAGTACAAAATATTCTAGTCTTAGACTATTCTAGTCTGAGACTAGAATATTTTTGTCTGGATAGTCCTTATATTAAGGCAAATCATGTAGATTTAGAGTTTTTGTTTTGTTTTGTTTCTTGATACAGAGCATTGAACCCAGGCACCCTTAATCTCTGAGCCACACCTCCAGCCCTTTTTATTTTTAAAATTTTGAGATAGGGTATTGTTAAGTTGCTAGGGCCTCACTAAATTTCGGAGGCTGGCTTTGAACTTGCAATCCTCCTGCCTCAGACTCCCAAGTGCAGGCATGTGCCACTGCACTGGCTGGATTAGATTTTTTTAAAAATATTTTTCAGTTGTAGATGGACACAATACATTTATTTATTTATCTTTATGTGTTGCTAAGGATCAAACCCAGGGTCTCACACATGCTAGGTGAGTGCTCTACCACTGAGCCACAACCCCAGCCCCTTGATTAGATTTTTTTATTTGATCCTTACTTGCTCTTTCCTATGAAAGATCCAATATCCTTTGCTCCTAATTATACCAAAGTAGCTAGGCAAGGTGTATTTTTCTTGTGAAGTGGTGGATGAGGACCCTGAGTTGGGAGAAGTTCAAATACTCACCAGAGAGGCACAGGCAGCCAGGTGCAGAGCTAGAATTTGAATCTCATTGGAGCTGACTCTAAAGCCTATGCCCTAACCACATGACCACACTGCCTCCCTGGAAAACAAATGTAAGTGACACACTGATATTTAGTCTAAGGTGAAGAAATGAGTTCCCCATTTAGTCTTATTTTATTATGTGCTGTCCCTCTGGCTTTATTCCATAAACCATTCTGAAATGTTTTTGACACGGAAAGCACTTTAGCCTGGAACACAGAGATGTTATTTTTTGATAACCAAACATCTATCCAGACACCAAAACTCACCAGAAGAACAAGTCCCAGTGACATGAAGATGGTACAGAAAAACATCCCACTCATTCCAATTAGAAACAGAGAGCGCCGCCCTGCCTTCTCCACAAGCAATACCTAGGAAAGTTTTGGAAAATATTATCTTAGTTTTGTGAGTCACAAAATCTTGCCTTTAAATCAACTTTATTGCAAGAGAGGTCATTTTAATTTATACAGTAGGGGAGGAGGCAGTGCTGTTATTCCATTTTATAGATGTGAGACCGAGGTAGGGAGGGACTCTGGCCTCAGGTGGCAGAATTGACTCAGTGAACAGAGATAATTAACAGATATCTGTTTAATTTGTTTATGTTGATTTAAATAGGCCATTCTAGAGATAGAACCATAGTGTTACCACCTCTCTAGGATTATCCCCTTGAGTACAAGAGTCAGAGGCTGTACAGCTTGCATCTCTCCCAATAGATTACCTGTACATTTAAAATGTGAAAGATCTACATTAAAAAGTGACATTAATTTCTCTCCTGGTGATTAAGTTACTGTTGCAAATGAAACAGGACAGCTGTGTCAACTTTTCTCATCCAACTTTCTCACTGCTTAATAAAGTCAAATTATGACCACTCACCTGGCAACATACAGAATTTGATCATTGTACCAAAATAGACAGGTCTGCATTTTTCTGGTGCACTTAAATGTACCTGGTATTGGAAGTGAACTATGCATTTAAAGAGAGAAAATTTTAAGGCAAAGGGTTAGAGTGCTTTTCTATTCTAATTGAGAAAATATGTCACTGATTCCTTTGAGTCTGGGTACCTTTGCATTAATGGTTAAGATTTACAATGAACCAAGATCACCATTTGTTGAATATGCTCTTGCCTCCATGATCCATGGAATACTACCAAAGCTGGTAACATGCACACTCACTCACACACAAACACACCTGTCACAATTTCTCATCTTGGTGAGTAAATCAGTTAGTTTCATCATTCTATCAATAAATTAATAGCAATACAAAATGCTTAGTATGGTGAGCTCTAGCTCTGAAAACACCTGAGAAGTATTTCTTTTCTTTTCACCTACAGTGAAAACCCTTTTCATCTAAGAGACACATGCACGTCAGAACTTCAAATCACTTCAGATATGATGATAAACAAAGGGCCCACATTTAAGTATTAAGGAAGAAGTAGAAAAACGAACCTTTCTCAAATTAATCAAATATCAGTATACATTTTGATTCTTTAATTCTGACTTTCAAAGCTGTCTTGATGATGCATGTCAAGATACTGGGAAAAATAGAAACATTTCTTCAGGAATAAGGCCTCTTACTATATGTTTCTGCTGTTTCTAAAACAATGTGTATTTACTGGATAATAAACCCTAAAACTGTATGTCCTGAAAATTGAGTTGGACTGTCTCCTTGAGACTGGGTATTCTCTCAGGGATGCCTATGACAAGGGTGAGACATGGCCAGTAGCTGGAGACATCTGTCCCACCTAACATTCACCTTTGCCAGACTCTGTGCATCATTCACATCCCAGGTGGTACCTAGTTAGAGTTTGGTAGCCACTCCTGATGCCCCAGACCCACCTTGCTTCCGAGTTCCCTCCGCATTTCTTCCTGTTTTCTCTCTCAAGATTATAGGCTCCCTTCTACCAGCTCATTAGCATGAAAGAAAACATGGAATATGGAACATAGTTCATTTTGTTATTGGGAAAATCTCTTTTTCCCAAATACTAATTCAGAAAAAAACAGATTGATTATGTTGCTTCCAAGCTGGTGAAATATTACTATATTATCAATAATATATTATCCTATTTATTTGAAAAGAATGCACAGGACTTGGTAGAATTGGTTAATTCGGGAAGAGAAACTGGGTGACTAAGTTACCCTTCTTTTTGTACTATTGAACTTTAACATGACTTTTTAAAACAAATATAATTAAAATTTTAAAATGTTACCTGTAGGCGTGGAGAGTTAATGAAATGATTTGAACTGATTTTTTTTAAATAATGTCACTCATCTGCTCAAAATTTTTACAGAATAAAAGGATGAGCTCCAGAAGTTATGTTCAAAATAATTAAGAAACTATTATAAATACAATGACTCCTCTCTCACCAATGAGATTAGGTGCAAAGTGCAAAAATAAAATTTTAAAGAATGTTTCTCTCAACATCAGCCTGCATGGGACCCAGGCTCACAGTAGGACCGGGTCCATCCTGTCACTGGCAGACACCCAACCGAGCCCAGCCTCCAGCACAGGACCACACCTTCCAACCAGCAGACTAACACAGGAGATCAGGCCAGACCAGATCTGCCTTCACAGACTGACTGGACTGACTAGACTTGCCAGGCAAGTCCGAGTTCTTCCCCACCACCACCACCTGGGAACCCAAGCCTAACTCACTTTCATCTTGGGACACTGCAGTCATCGCCATAGACTACCCCATGCAGTAGCCCCTACCTTTTCCACAACAGAAAGGTCCTAGACACAGCTRCGTCTCAGAGCAGGCATCCCAAAGAGAGTGTAAGGCCGACCCTTTCAGCCCCATCTTTGTAAGTCATTGCCTCATCTTGGGGCACCTCCACTATTATCTCAAGTTACTTTGGCTATTGCTGCCACCACCTTTAGTTGCAGTAGCATACGCTGAGGGACACCAACAGGGTCTGGAAGCCCAACATCAAAGTGAGGTACAGACAATATGAACAGATATTACAAGAATATAGAGTAGAAACTGTAATATTTCAGATCCATACTGCAAGAAAGAAAGACACATAGACAACATGAAAAAACAAGGGAGGAAAGTTCCCCAACAAAACAGGATACTACAATAATGGAACCCATGGACAGAGAAGTTAATGAAATGTCAGAGAAGGAGTCTAGAAGGTTCATAATTAAAATGATCTGTGAATTAAAGAATGACCTAAATGAGCAAATACAGTCAAAAATTGATCACGCTAACAAAGAGATAAGAGAGCAAATACAGGTAGCAAAAGATTACTTCAAGAAAGAGTTAGAGACTCTGAAAAAATACCAGTCAGAAATACTTGAAATGAAGGTTACAATAACCAAATAAAAAACTCAATAGAAAGCATAACCAACAGACTAGATCACTTGGAAGAAAGAATGTCAGATAATGAAGACAAAGTATACAATCTGGAAAATAAAGTTGATCACACAGTGAAGATAGTAAGAAATCATGAACAGAACATCCAAGAATTATGGGACAGCATCAGAAGATAAATCTAAGAGTTATTGGGATAGAGGAAGGCACAGAGTTTCAAACCAAAGGAATGCACAATCTCTTCAATGAGATAATAGCAGAAAATTCCCCACACATGAAACATGAATTGGAAAACCTAATACAAGAGGCTTACAGAACACCAAATGTACAAAATCACAACAGATCTACACCAAGGCACATTATAATGAAAACGCCTAGCATACAGAATAAGGATAGATTCTTAAAAGCCACAAGAGAGAGGAATCAGATCACATATGGGGGAGATCAATTTGTATCTCAGCAGATTTTTCTACCCAGACCCTCAAAACCAGGAGATCATGGAACAACATATAGCTATTGAAAGAAAATGGATGCCAACAAAGAATCTTATATCCAGCAAAATTAAGCTTTAGATTTGATGATGAAATAAAAATCTTCCATAATAAACCAAAGTCAAAAGAATTTACAACTAGAAAGCCTGCACTACAGAACATCCTCAGCAAAATATTCCACCAAGAGGAAATGAAAAACAATGATGAAAATCAGCAGAGGGAGGTATTACACTAAAGGAAAATCTAATCAGAGGAGCAAACCAAGTCACGATAAATACCAAAAATGGTTGGGAATACAAACCATGTCTCTATAATAACCCTGACTATTAATGGCCTAAATTCACCAATCAAAAGACAGACTAGCAGATTGGATAAAAAAATAAAAAAAAAAGACCCAACAATATGCTGCCTCCAAGAGACTCATAGGAAAAGACATCCACAGACTGAAGGTGAAGGGTTGAGAAAAATCATACCACTCATAGTGTATATTGTATTCATAGTGTTTATTGTATCCTTCATTTCCCCACTCATGGACTGGGGAAGCAAATAGGGATTTTCATCCTCATATCAAATAAAGTTAAAGTTAATAAAAAGGGATAAAAAAAGACACTACATACTGCTCAAGGGAACCATACCAGAAACCAAGACTTGACAATTATAAATATATATGCCCTACATACTGCTCAAGGGAACCATACCATACATCAAGATTTGACAATTATAAATATATATGCCCCAAACAATGGAGCATCTACATTCATCAAACTTTTCTCAATTTCAATAGTCAAACTGACCACAACACAATAATTTTGGGTGACTTTAACACACCTCTTTCACCACTGGATAGGTCTTCCAAACAAAAGCTGAACAAAGAAACTATAGAACTCAATAATACAATCAATAACTTAGACTTAACTGACATATATAGAATATTTTATCCTGCAACGAGTAAATATATTTTCTTCTCAGCAGAACATGGATCCTTCTCTAGAATAGATCATATACTATGCCACAAAGCAACTATTAGCAAATATAAAAAAGTAGAGATACTACCCTGCATTCTATGAGATCATAATGGAATGAAATTAGAAATCAATGATAAAATAAGAAATAAAAGCTACTCCAACACCTGGAGACTAAATAATATGCTACTGAATGAACAAGGGGTTGCAGAAGATATCAGGGAGGAGATTAAAAAAAATTTAGAGGTGAATGATAACACAGATACAACTTATCAAAATCTCTGGGACACTATGAAGGTAGTTCTAAGCGGAAAGTTCATTGCATGGAATTCATTCCTTAAAAGAAGAAAAAGTCAACATTACAAAAAGTTAACATTACATCTCAAAGCTGGAAAAAGAACAAATCTACACCAGTAGAAGACAGGAAATAATTAAAATTGGAGCTGAAATCAGTAAAATTGAAACAAACAATTGAAAAAATTGACAGAACCAAAAGTTGGTTCTTTGAAAAAAATAAATAAAATTGACAAACCATGCTATCCATGCTAACGAAGAGAAGGAGAGAGAAAACTCAAATTATTAACATCCTGGATGAAAAAGGAAATATCACAACGGACACTACAAAAATACAGAAGATAATTAGAAATTATTTTGAAAACTTGTACTCCAATAAAATAAAAAATATAGAAGGCATCGACAAATTTCTAGAGTCATATGATTTGCCCAAATTGAATCAGGATGATATGCACTATATAAACAGATCAATTTCAAGCGACCAAATACAAGATGCCATCAGAAGCCTACCAACCAAGAAAAGCCCAGGACCGGATGGATGCACAGCCAAGTTCTACAAGACCTTTAAAGAAGAACCAATACCAATACTCTTCAATTTATATCAGGAAATAGAAAAAGAGGCAGCATTTCCAAACTCATTCTGTAAGGCCTATATCATCCTGATTCCAAAACCAGGTAAAGACACATMAAAAAAAGAAAACTTCAGATCAGTATATCTAATGAATATAGATGCAAAAATTCTCAATAAAATTCTGGCAAATTGAATATAAAAACATTTCAAATAGATAGTGAACCACAATCAAGTGGGATTCATCCCAGGGATGCAAAGTTGGTTCAACATATGGAAATCAATAAATGTAATTCATCACATCAATCATATGATCAATCATATGATCATCTCAATAGATCATATGGTCATCTCAATAGATGCAGAAAAAGCATTTGACAAAATACAGCACCACTTCACGTTCAAAACACAAGAAAAACTAGGGATAATAGGACCATATTTCAACATCATAAAGGCTATCTTACCCCAGGCCAACATCATTCTAAATGGAGAAAAATTGAAATCATTCCCTCTAAAAACTGGAACAAGACAGGGATGCCCTCTTTCACCACTTCTATTTAACATAGTTCTTGAAACACTGGCCAGAGCAATTAGACAGATGAAAGAAATTAAAGGGATACACATAGGAAAAGAGGAACTCAAACTAGCATTACTTGCCAATGATATGATTCTATACCTAGAAGACCCAAAATGTTCCACCAGAAAACTTCTAGAATTAATAAATAAATTCAGCAATGTAGCAGGATATAAAATCAACACCTGTAAATCAAATGCATTTCTATATATCAGTGACAATCTTGCAGAAAGGGAAACGAGGAAAACTACCCCATTTACAATAGCCTCAAACAACAACAACAACAACTTGGGAATCAACTTAATGAAAGAGATGAAAGATCTATATAATGAAAACTACAGAGCCCTAAATAAAGAAATCAAAGAAGACCTTAGAAGATGGAAAGATCTACCTTGCTCTTGTATAGGCAGAATTAATATTTTCAAAATTACCATACTATCAAAAGCACTATACAGATTTAATGCAATTTCAGTCAAAATCCCAAAGACATTCCTCATAGAAATAGAAAAAGCAATCAAGGAATTCATCTGGAAAAATAGGAGACCCAGAATAGCTAAAGCAATTCTTATCAGGAAGAGGGAAGCAGGTGGCAACACTATCAGACCTGAAACTATACTATAGAGCAATAGTAACAAAAACAACACGGGATTGGCACCAAAACAGACTGGTAGACCAATGGTACAGAATAGAGGACACAGAGACTAACCCACATAACTATAGTTATCTTATATTAGATGAAGGTGCCAAAAACATACATAAGAGAAAAGATAGCCTCTTCACAAATGGTGCTGGGAAAACTGAAAATCCATATGCAACAAAATGAATTTAAACCCATTTCTCTCACCATGCACAAAACTTAAAGTGGATCAAGGACCTAGGAATAAAACCAGAGACCCTTCATCTAATAGAAAAAAAAAGTAGGTCCTAATCTCCATCATGTGGGATTAGGCCCCAACTTCCTTAATAAGACTCCTAAAGCATAAGAATTAAAATAAAAAAATAATAAATGGGATGGATTCAAACTAAAAARTTTCTTCTCAGCAAATGAAACAATCTGTGAGGTGAATAGAGAGCCGACATCTTAGGAGCAAATCTTTATCCCTCACACATCAGATAGAACACTAATCTCTGGGGTATATAAAGAACTCAAAACGCTAAGCACCAAAAACAAAAACAAAAACAAAACAAAACAAACAAACAAACAAATAACCCAATCAATAATTGGCCCAGGACCTGAACAGACACTTCCCAAAAGATGATATACAATCAATCAACAAATATATGAAAAAAATGTTCATCATCACTAGCAATTAGAGAAATGCAAATCAAAACTACTCTTAAGATTTCATTCATCCAGTCAGAATGGCAGCTATTATGAAGACAAACAACAATAAGTGTTGGTGAGGATGCGGGGGAAAAGGTACACTCATATACTGCTGGTGGGACTGAAAATTGGTGCAGCCAATATAGAACGCAGTATGGAGATTCCTTGGAAAACTGGAAATGTAACCACCATTTGATTAGTCTATATCCAAAGGACTTAAAAATAGCATACTACAGGGACATGGCCACATCAATGTTTACAGCAGCACAATTCACAATAGCTAAACTGTGGAACCAACCTAGATGCTCTTCAGCAGATGAATGGATTTCAAAAATGTGGCATATATACACAATGGAATATTACTCAGCATTTAAAGAGAATAAAATAATGATATTTTCAGGTAAATGGATGGAGTTTGAGAATATAATGCTAATTGAAATTAGCCTACCCCAAAAAAMCAAATGCTGAATATTTTCCTCTGATATAAGGAGGCTGATTCATAGTGGGGTTGGCAGGGGGAGCATGGGAGGAATATACAAACTCTAGATAGGGCAGAGGGCTTGGAGGGGAAGGGAGGGGGCATTGGGTTAGAAATGATGGTGGAATGTGATGGAAGTTATTATCCAAAGTACATGTATGAAGACATGAATGGTGTGAATATAATTTGTATACAAAGACAGATATGAAAACTTTGTGCTTTATATGTTTAATAAGAATTATAATGCATTCCACTGTCATATATAAATTCCAAAAAATTAATAATAGTAAAAAAAAATAGTTCCTCTCTAGTTTGTTTTTCAAATTTGGGGTTATTCAGTCTTGGCAACTCAATACTTTATATAGAAAATCTTATTGGTCACAAGTGTTTGAATAATAATCTTCATTTTGTGAAAAGATGATACAGCAGTATCTATAAAAAATATTATTCCAGGAGACAAAAAGGGCATGTAGTCCCTTGCATTCCATCCCAGTAACAGGCCTTCTTTGAGAGTGGCCTCTTGGCCTGAGCAGGTATTATCTCTGAGTTATTTCTACAGAATCCCTGGTGTTCTGTTGCTATTTGTTCTTCCTTCTCATTCCAAGGTTCAGCACTGTTCAATGTGGTCTAGACAAACCTGCTTTTTGGTCTAGATAGCCAGACTGTAATTTATTGACCGCCCCAAGGTAACAGTTAAAAGTCCATATTCAGAGAATGAAAAACAAGTGTCTAAAATAAGTGGAGTATAGTATTATGACTGACACAGAAAAGCACATTTTTWAAATACCTTTGTTTTATTTATTTTTATTTATTTTTTATGTGGTKCGGGAGATGGAACCCAGTGCCTCACGCATGCTGGGCAAGTGCTCTACCACTGAGCCACAACTCTGGCCCAAGCACATTTATTTTTAATATTTTTTATTCAAATTAAAATTCACTTTAGAGTGAATTATATTAGCTGGAAGTTTTTGTCTTTGTTGTTTACTTATTTTATCTTTTAGATTATGTTAAATATTGTTGTGAAGATGTTGAATCATTTCTTATATACAACATTTGGTTTTAAGAAGAACATATGACCTCTTTTTTGTAGTAGTTGCAAAAGGATCAACAACACTTCTAGTTTTATACTTCTACCCCATTCTCTAAAGCACACATAAACCTCTAATGCATCACCAGAAGCTACTTCCTTGGGAATTACCTAGAAGTTCTGTCCAATGACTTAACATCATAGGAATTTCCCAAGTTTGCTGAATTCTGCTTAGAGGCCAAGATATCTGAGAGTAACTTGTCTATTATTTTTAAATGTTCTCCCCAAGACATCAGGATGGAAAAAGTATTTCAAACATGGAAGGAGAGGATCCTGGGTAAACTATGCATACTGACTTTACATATTGATAGAAATGACAAGCTGCCAGCCAGTCCAAGSGGTTTAAGTATAAAGTGATGAAGAAGGAACCAACGGAATTTCCTCTGTGCCTCCCAATCAGTTATTCTTTCACTAAGAGCTAATTGAATGGCATCCCAGAAGTGGGGTGAGCCAGTGATTCACATTCTCAGTTAAGCCTATTGGTAGTGCAATAGTTGGCTTATTTACAGAGAGGACTTTTTGCATGACCCATTTAATTCTACACACCCACTGCACGTGGACAGAAATCATTGATCACTTTTATATCACAAGTTTTTCCCTCCATTTCTGGACTAGAAAACAAGCAGTGTTTATCTAGGGTATCGACTTACAGAGAAAACAGTGAAAACCAGGTTGATGGCACCAACTCCGATGGTTGCATAAACAGGTTTGCTGATTCCAGCTGTCTGAAAAATGCTGGTTGAGTAGTAGAATATCTGCAAAGTACAAACAGTTTGGCCTTAATCAGGAAGTCTCACACTCATGTCTTTAAGGCAAGAAATATTTTAGGTTATTTGTTTTTCCATGTTCCTCTAGAACCATAGTCCCTAGAACTTCCTAAAGATTTTCTCCACCCTCTCTTTCCAGAGTAGATAACAGACTTCCTTTAGCATTTAAAGCTTTTGATTGCTTTAAAGTTCTCCTTACATTTACAATTAGAAAACTTTGCTACTATTTTTAAAATTTGTAGACTCTTTGTTAAAGTAAAACACATATAAAAATACACATAAGTGTACAACTGAATTAGTTTTAATGAATGGGTCACACCTGTATAACCAGCTCTTAGATCTGGAAATGAATCATTGCACACTCTGCAGAAACTCCCTATTTGTTCCCTCATCCACTGTCCTGAAGAAATCACTCTCCCATCATCTAACATTATAGATAAAGTTTGCCTAGTTTTGTACTTGATGATGGAACCACATAATATGTACTATTTTTGTCTGCCTTCTTTTGTTCACAGTTACCTTTATGAGTTACCTTATTGTCATATTTGCAGACCGTTCATATCATTACTCTATAGAATTTTGTTGTATTAGCACACCACAATTTGGTTATTCAATCCACTCCTGATGATTATTTAGGCACTTAGGGTGATTATGAATAGTGTTGCTCTAAACAGTGTAACAGTCCTTTTGGTGAATATGTAATCATACCTATGAATAGACAATTGCTGGACCTTAGGGTATGCATATACTCAGCTTTGGTACAAATGGCCAAACAATTTTCAAAAGAAGTTAGGACAGTTTTAYGTGCTCATCATAATGTGGGAGAGTTCTATCTTTTATGATTAATCCAGAATTTTCCACTAATCTCAGTAGGAATGGAGAAATCAATTTCACAGCCCAATAGCTTTTTAAAAAATTTAGTTATGTTTATATGCTTCTAATGGTCTTTTAGATCATTGTGTTATTCCTCTGTTATTTTTCCTCTACTCAACATGTCCTGTTTCTCGTTCCTCCTGCAGACAGGACTAATGCAGGAGAACTGTGCAGACTGTTCAGTGAGCAGTGGCTATACTACTATCCTACTATTTTTAGGCTGTTCCACAGCCTCAGGGCCAACATTTTCTCAATACCTCTTTAAGTAAGATCCTGGGATGGAAGATGAACCACGAAGTTCAGAAAGATTAAGTATTATCTAGTGGATATACAGGCAGAACTGAGACAGGGGATATGAATTTTGGTCTGTGAGTTCCACAGGTAAACATCAAGATATCTTACTAGAGACTATATGAGAGAAATATTGGTTTATGATGTGAGGTTAATCTCAGGTATCCTTTTACTTCAACAGATAAGAATTACTTTCTTTGTCTCCTCCAAGACTCTGAGCATCCATTTGTATCTCTAAATTGTCTCTTGTGGATCTGGGACTGGCTCACTAGTGATAGAAACCTAATCCACATAATTTAATATCAATAGATGAGGGCATGTGATTTTCTTTATCTAATTTCTTAACAAGCTTACTTTTTTCTTTTTCTTTTTTAAGTACTTTTTAGTTGTCAGTGGATCTTTATTTTATTTATTTATATGCAGTGCTGAGAATCGAACCCGTGCCTCACACATACTAGGCAAGCACTTTACCGCTAAGCCAAAACCTCAGCCCCCTTACATTTTTCTTCTAGTGGCTAATTTAGTCTGCATGACACAAGGGTTTCTTTGTGTATTTTTTATCAGCACATTATAACTATACATAGTAGTGGGATTAACTGTAACATATTTATACATGCACACAGTGTAACGGTAAGGAGTTTAAAATCAGAACCTAAAAGTTTGATACTACCATATTTTTCAATCACGTCTTATCTACTACCCTCACTCATCAATATTATGCCAACTCATTCTATTGTTTATTTTTATAGGCTGTCTTAACAAATAAAAAAGTTTCTTGATGGCAAGAAACTGTTCTTTGCACCTAGCTATCTGGCATCCTTCATTTAAATAAAAAGAACCATAGACTCCCTATTGCCCTCACTATCAAAAATCCTAAATTTCATTCTCACCTCTGGAAGCCTCTTGTAATTTAGGGACCTTCCCCCTTTGGAAATGATGATTATTCTCCTTTTTTCTCATTGCATTTACTATGACTTTTGCTTTTTTGTCTCATTTTTTTTATTGGTTGTTCAAAACATTACAAAGCTCTTGACATCATATTTCATACATTAGATTCAAGTGGGTTATCAACTCCCATTTTTACCCCAAATACAGATTGCAGAATCACATCGGTTACACATCCACATTTTTACATACTGCCATATTAGTAACTGTTGTATTCTGCTACCTTTCCTATCCTCTACTATCCCCCCTCCCCTCCCTTGTTTCATCTTAATAGAAATAAATCACCATTGAGTACTGACATTTTAAAGAATTGCAACCTATTTTAGAAAAGAAAATTTTCACTTAATTTTCTGTTTTAGTAACACTTGATATCTATGTAGTAACACTTGATGTCAATGTTTTAAAGCATCCTTTAGTTATTTAGACTTTAATTTCTTTCCTTCTTAGTTCACTTTGTGTTCTTAAATTTAGAAGATATTCTCAACTTACCCCATTGATTCCAGAAAATTGCTGAGCCGCATGCAGCATCAATGACACAATGATAGGCTGTCTGTAGCTAGAATTAGTGAAGAGCTGAATTATGGAGACTTTCTGCTCACTTGATGCTTCTTCTTTTTCTTTTTTCATCTCATTTATGTCTTTGGTGACATCATCACTTCCTCTGAGTCTTTTTAAGCCTGTTCCCCCAAATTATCAAGTTGAAACAATTCACTCAGATCAAAACAAAAATTAATTTATTTTTACTGTGTTCATGAAACAGCTATAGTTCTGCATGTCCCATTCTATTACTTTATAGCATGGGGGTTGGAAATTCTCTTTTGTTAAATTAAATCCTGCTCTTTGATGTAAAAAGGCAGAACAGTTGGCTTCATCTTTTGACAGAAAACTATGATCCTCATTATCATAGAAGCATAAATCTAGACAGTCTTTGGAAGTCTCTGGTTAAGTCCCTTGTGTGTGGGCTTTAGTGCATGCTTACAGGTATGATATGGCACACACCAGTCCTATCAAAGTGATTTTGCACATTCTTATTACATGTAATTACTGACTTCATTTGGAAGTCCCTGTTAATAATTTTGCCAGCAACCATTCATACACACTGTTTGGTGTTTCAAAAACAATAGAAAGTTGGTATTTCAAAAACAATAGAAAGAAAGAAAAAACATCTACATACTCACTTTGCTTTGCTTTTGCTTCTTCTTCCAATGTGATATAAAGATATCTGGGGCTTTCTGGACAGAAGAAGAGTAGCAGAAACTGGAGAAGGGCCCGCACAGCAGACAGGCCAAGCAGGATGTGCCATAGATCATGATTGCCCAGGATAAACTCAAGGCCAACAATCTGAGAGGATAAGGAAGAAACTTATCAGCTGCACAATGCTCTGCATCTGCATATGCCTTCTACAATTTGTAGAAAAAACACATTGGCTATTCAGTAGTAATCCCTAACAGTCCTGGTTCATGTAAGCACAAGTTGGAAACCATTACATCTAATCTTAACCAAAATAGGGAAAATTTACTTGGCAAATAATTCAACTGGGCTTGTTTGTATTAACTTCATTTACACATTTAGGTTGGGAATCAACCCAACTTTTAAAAAATACATTTGATATCTAAAGCAACATATGGCTATAGTCTCTAGGCAACCACATGGAAAAATACTGTATTAAAATCATACATAATTTGGGGGCCKTGTTCCAAAGTTTTTTCTTAGAAAATATTTCTTGGGGCTGGGGTTGTAGCTCAGTGGTAGAGTGCTTTCTGAGCATGTGTGAGGCACTGGGTTCAATTCTCAGCACCACATAAAAACAAATAAATAAAAAATAAAGGTTAAATTCTTAAAAAAAAGAATGTACAAAAAAGAAGAAAATATTTCTTTTTAAATTGCTTAGATTACTCAGTAACCCAGCTCCTTTATTCCATCATAGATAGAACAATTGCTTAGCGAAAATCAGCTTTATGAATCCTATTTCAGAGATCCTTCTGGATGATTAAATATGAAGTTCTAAAATTCCCTCTGAGGCCATAGGGTGGAAGGGAAGGAGAGAACCATTGGAACAAGAGCTCCTGTAATCATCATTTGCATGCTAGGTTTCCAGGAAAGATGATCAAAACAAAGGAAACCCATGCAGTCAAAAACATGAAGTTTCCTATTTTTTGAAATCTAAATCAAATAACTTAATTCCTGAATAGTATTGGAAGTTTCAATTCTAGTGCCAATCCCACCAAACAACTTTTAAGGAGAAAAGTCAGAAGTGGTAATAGTTTAACTTTGAGCTAAAATGCCTGTGTTTCTGTACCATTTTCACTACTGCTGTTAGTTATACTTAAATAATTAATCTGCTCCTATAATTACAATAATAATAATTATTATAATTATCTTCCTCTGTGCTAGTCTACCATGAAAATAGAAAGGAAAGGAGAAGTGGGTGAAGTAGAGGATAAGTAAAATGGAGGATGAGGAGTTTTTACCTGACTAATAAGAATGCCGGTGACAATGGCTAGCTGGTGAAAAGTGCCAAGAGCACCCCTGAGCGTGGTTGGAGCAATTTCACCAATATACATTGGAACCAGCCCTGAGATTAACCCTGCATGAAACATGAATATAACAAATGTTAAAGTACACCCAGGAACATCTCAATAACAATGATTTGATCTAAGTAAACCCAGTATCCAGACTGAAACTCCCTTCCTGCATCCCTTGGGATGAAGGGCCCTTGTCTTCAGCCAAAGACACAATTCATGCAAAACAAATTTGTTGATACAACCTTATCAAGGAAGGTTGTATACAACCTTATGATGAAGGGGTAGTTGAAAATATTGATAGAAAGAAATGCTTGGTCATGTATTTTGCAATTCTTCATGGTGTTGTCTCAGTTTTCAAAAAAAAAAMCAAAACCTACCTTAATGTTTAGTTTACATCATAGTGCCTGAAGTTCTCTTGAGAAAAGAGACTGAAGAATGTTTAAATAATATTCTTAATAGACTCATGGAATTAAAGGAAACTAGGACACCAACAGGCCATCCTCTCAATGGAGGTGAGAAATGATGTGCCAAGATCCCATGGTGTGGAGGGTTAGCATGAGAACTACCAATCTCCACAAGGTCCCTGTTGGGGTGGAGAGATAGGTGGAAGAGTTGGAAGAGTTAAGGAACTCAAGGACTCTTCCCCCAGTTGTCAGAGCAACCCAGCTCCTTTATTCCCTCTACGTATTAGGCTTCAGAAAAGATTTTATTTGAAAAAAGACTTTTGTGCTGTAAAGGAATATGAAAAATTTGATCAGTCATGTTGAAAAGGTGGCATACCCATCCAGCCATTGGCTGATTGCAGTGTTTGGCATTTTCTTAAAAATTAAGATCTGTCAGAAGGCAATCTCTTAGAGGTTGCCTACTGATTATCAAATGGAAGTGGATGGTCTCTGTGTGAAAGATGCTTTGGCAACTATTTTCAATGTGCATATTTAATGCTCCAAATTCTTAATATCTCCAGTGAATATTTGAATATCTGATATGGCATCTGAACTTCTGGAGAATTTTACATGTGACTATAACATGCTGCCTATTCAGCTTCAATAAGGAAAAAAAAAACATTTGAGGTTGTACTATCTTTCCATAATATCTAATACTATATCTCAAGATCAAAATGATACAGCTAACTTCACAAGTCTGAAATCATATGAATCTGAAGTCAAATTATATTTCCTATAAATTTTAGCAACTTTAACAGTCAGAATATTAGAAATACTTTACATACAAATTCTGTGCCCTCATCATTCCTTCCCTGCCCCGCTTGGTATTAGTGCATTGAAGGGCAACTCCAGTTTGTGAGAATAGGTTAAAACATCAGCCCAGAACCATCAGAATTAAGGATCCACTGGCCTTGGGAAATTAAATATTTGTCTGTTTTAGTGAGTGAATGTTCCTGCCTTTGTTCAAATCTCTGCTAATTTGTTGCTTCTGGACATTTGAAAAGCTGTATCCAAAAACTAGTGATTCCCATATTCAGACATGAAGTTCCTGGGAGGAGATTTATGAACTTTGCTGCTGCTTTTGCCTGATTCTCTCTCCCTACAGACACCACCTCTTTAATGCTTCACTCAGCCATGCTTGGGATCAGACAGGGCTGGGGTGTATGGTTAAAAAGATGGGTACAGGTGTCTAGGTCTGGTCAGGTATGAGAAACAGAGACAGCCAGGTAGACCACAGGTCAGCACTGGGGGTCTGAGTGCAGCAGTCTTCCACTGTTTACTGCACCACAAAAGTAATAACAGCAGTTTTTGTATATCAGATTCCATGATTAGTGTTTTACATGTATTCTAACAATTACCCTGTAGGGTAGAAACTTTCATTCTCTTCATTTCACAGATGAAGGAACTAAGAGTCAGAGTTAAATAATTTGTCTGAAATCAGACAACTAAAGATGCTGCTATTGCGGTGTACAGGATCCTAAGATAGCATCACAATTCCCATTTACTGGTCCAAAACTCCCAACTCAGGACCTAACTTTATGCAATTGTCTTTCCCTCTGTGACTTAACCCTAAGCTCAAAAATGTCCCTGAAAGTTAACACATGTGCTGCAGAGTGATTTTCAGAAAAGATGTATATATGTGTTTTTGTCACTTACCACAGTAGAGTCCTGATATGCTTCTTCCTGCAATTATAAGAATATGAGATGGTCCCAATTTGGAAAACCCCATCAAAAGAGCTCCAGCTAATGAGAGAATGTTTGCTACCATCAAGGCCTTGATTCTGAAATTTCATAAAGCCAGAATTACAAATTAGGCATCAAAACTTAATAAAGTTATTGGCTTCCAGAGCTTGTTGAGCTTTTTTTTTTTTTTACCTAAGTTCAATTATTTTAATTTTGCCATAAATGCTAGTTCAGAAATCTTAAACCAGTATTGTTATTTTGACTCATCTGTGGACCAACGTGTTAACAAAAGTAATATTTATGATGAGACAACCTGGGTTTTATACACTTAATCTCCATATTTTGATAGAGATGATTCACTCACAATGGTGACTAGTTTGATTTAAGATAATACTTCTGACACTTTTCCAAACAGTTAACTAAGTTTTCCAGAAATTGATTGTTTTAAGGAATAATTATCTGGTGATAGATGAATTCAATTTTGTGGTTGTAATCTATAACTTGTTTCTTTCTTTTTGTTTTCTTTCAATGTAAAGGTTTCAGTTGATGTAGATTGAAGAGGAACTTTCAAAGTCAAATTTCCTTTAGTATAAATTATTTGGATAACTACAACATACTTTTTAAAGCTTATCATAATTATAATTATAATTATCCTCATTTTAACACTGTACACTAGCATGTTTCCAGAATCCATGAATTAATGTCAACCAAGGTCAAATGTGTTATAAAGCTGACAATGGCAACGAAAACATCGCTTTCAAAAATAATCATACAAAAATAGCACATAAACCTTGTTAAAAGTTAAATAGCCAAAGTAAATAAAAGAATCTGACTGGTCAGTATAAAAATGTTTTTGCCATGAAGATATGTAAGCACCTTGCTGTATTCTATTTCATTGTTTCAAACTCCGATAGGTTGGCCTTTTCTAAGCAAATATCTTTAACACTAAACACATTATTTTCTAGAGAGTAAAACTTTAAAATCTCATAGTGAAATGATTTCCCAACAACTATGTGATAGGCTGAATAATGTCCCTCAAGAGTTCAAGTCTCAATCCTCAGATTCTGTAAATGATACCTTATGTGGCAAAAGGGATTTTGCAAATGTGATGATGTTTCTTGACATAGGGAGAGTGTCTGATTATCCAGGTGAACCCAACAATGTAATCACAAGTGACCTCATAAGAGGAAGGCAGAAGAGAAGATGATGTGATAGAAGTGGAGATTGAATTGATGCACTTCTAAGGTGGAGGAAGGGGCCACTGCAAACTGGAAAAAGGAGAGGAAGAAATTCTCTCCTCTCTGAGCCTCCAGAAGAAACCAGCCCAATTGATAACGTGACTTTAGCCAAGTGAAACTGATTTTGGACTTCTGACCTCCAAAACTGTAAGAAAATTATTTTGTGTTGTTTTAAGTCATCAAGTTGGTGGTAATTAATTACAACAGCAATAGGAAATTAATATAAGGAAATTATTAACTATCCAAAGATAGGGAACAGTTAAAAAGAACTTGCCAGTCCCTGAGCTGCCACGTTGAAATATAGTTAAAGGGTGTTTTTTTCTCTGCTAGACTACAGTGAAATGATTTTTCTTTTCACAAGGACAGAGAGCATGCAAATTCACCAATTAACCCTAAGAAATTATTAGCAGCTAGCTTATAGTTCATTCTGTTAGGAGGGAAAAAAGACAAAAAGTAAAACCAATAAAGTCCTGAGAAGATTTTTGATACTAGACTGTTTCTCTTCCTTACTGCAAACAGTGGTTGCTGGAACACAAAATACAATATAAATGATTTTTAATTTCTATTCAGATGTGAGAAATGGCCAAAAATAAATGAAAATAATTTCAAAAATAATCATATGAAAATCACAAAAATACATGCAGTAATTGAACCAGGGAGAAAGAAACTTAGTTCTTCCTAAGTGCATTTTTTTTAAGCTCCTGCTCTGAATACCCCTGTTAGTGTTGGTTTCATTCTTATGAATGTCATCATCATCATCATTCTTGTATTGTCATAATTGTCTTTATTATCATCATCAAAATAAGGCCACATTTGTTGTCTGCTGACTATATGCGAGGCATTGGGCCAAATCTTTTATATTCCTTCTCATTTAATCCTCATAATAATGCCATGAAGTAGGTATATATTCCCCCATCCCATGTTGCAGATGGTAGAAAACGGTCTTAGAGAACCTAAGCAACTTGGTCATTTTCATACTAATATTAAGTGACAGAGCTGAACCTGATCTGTGCAACACCCAGGGTTAATGATGCTGCAATTTAATAAATTCYTTTGTGTGTGTGTGATGCTAGGAACTGAGCCCAGGCTCCTGACATAGCAAACACTCTACCTTGGAGCTATCCCCCCTGCCCTATGAGTTCTGTTTGCTGTGTATGCCTCCCTTGACTGTGATAGTGTGAATTGCATAGACCATGTCTTGCCCAACACACTTTTCTCCTACTTAAAAGGTAAGTGCACAGTCTTTGGGAAAATTGACCTTGCAAACCCAGTCTATAAAATGTTGGTCTATTGACTACTACACAGTTTCAGGGAAAGACTTTTTTTTAAAGCTATAATGGAAGGAATACATTTTTATTTACTTACTTTTAACTAATAGAGAAATCATCCTAGCAACACTTTTATTCATGTCATTTCTCAGTGATTTTCTCCAGAAAAAAAAAAAAAAACTTTCACAAGAGATACTGAACTCTTTTATCTTAATTTTTAAGTTGAATTTATGAGATTTATGGCTGTTTTTCAAGGAAGATGATTTTTTTATTGTGCTGGAAGAAGTTTCAATTTCCTTATAATAGGTTATTTAATAAATGGTCATTTGATATGATTATGACTGTTGTTGATGCTAAATCTTGGCTTCAGAGGATATACATCCTGGCTTTATTGCTAGGCCACTGGTTACATGTTTCAGGGTAAGTCACTAGGCCTGTGAGAATCTCATCTCTGAATATAGGAAGGGTTTAATTTTTCCTTTAGGAATGGGAAGTAGCTCCAATTGATTTGTTCATATTTTAAAATTTAATTTTTCTCAGTTTGATTTGACTTATAAATAATCTAGAAAATTCTCCATTTACTGTTTAAGCCAATCTGATGCAATTTGAAATGACTCTTACTTTTGTGTGTGTGTGTGTGGTATTGGGAATTGAACCCAGGGGTCTTATCATTTGAGCTACATCCCCAGACCTTTTTATCTTCTATTTTTTCTTTTGAGACAAGGCCTCACTAAGTTACTGAGGTTGGCCTTGAATTTATAATCCTCTTTGCCGAAACCTCCCAAATCCCTGGGATTACAGGCATGTGCCACTGTGCCCCGGCTAATTTTTAACATTTTTTAAATGATGAAAGGCAATTTATTTATTCTGTTGTGTACATAATCTGTTTTCAACCAAATACCAGTATATTGGTAAAAATGTAAGAAATTGAAGGAGACTCCAATTTAAGTAATAAAACTTGAGTTACCATGATGCCCTTTACTTGAGAAAATGTCTTACAGTGTTATTATATAAAATTCTAGTGTAAGAGGAAGAAATCATCACAATTATATAACCAGAAAACTAAAGACTCTAATTTATAGTAGCAAAATTGGAAATACTAAATAATTTGTAATTCAGAATTATTAAGTTAGTTATCTATATTTTTATTTATACCTTTAGAAGTTTTTGCACATCCTAAATTTTCCAAATTTGGCATGCATTATTATTATTATTATTATTATTATTATTGTTATTTTTATTATTATTTTGGTATTGGAGATTGACCCAAGGATACTCGAGCTACATTCCCAGCCCTTTAAAAAATATTTTTATTTAGAAACAGGGTCTTGCTAAGTTGCTTAGGGCCTCACTAATTTGCTGAGGCTGGCTTTAAACTTGTGATCCTCCTGCCTCAGCCTCCTGATCTGTGTATTATTTTTATTATAAGAATAAAAGATAATTAATACACAAAATATGGGCTCAAAGAGCAGGAAATAAAGCTAAAGAAATATCATTTGATTTTCTAATCTTATTTCCTTCCTATATGGTAGGAAAACCCCAGCAGCTATATATAGTATATCCTCTGTCTCAGTGCAGCTTGAGGGTAAAGGAGTTTCACAGATATTTTCCATGCAAAATGTCTAATATAAGCCAGAATTGAGAAATGTTTCATCTTGCTTCACTCGGGTCCAGATTTTGAGAGCAGTAGCCAAAGCAGCAGCTAGAAACGCATGCCAAGTACACAGGGTTACTGGGAATCGGGAATGTTGACTTGACCTTAGGACTTGACCAAACCAAAAGCCAAGTTCTAATTTACAAATGAAAAAACTGATGTTTGAGAAACGATATGATTTGGTGAAGCATACAATGGACTCCCAGTTTAAAGATTCCTATCTAGGATGGACGTGGTGATTCGTGCCTGTAATCCCAAAGACTTGGGAGGCGGTGGCAAAGAGATGGCAAGTTCAAGGCCAGCTGCAGCAACTGAGTGAAGCCCTAAGCAACTTATCAAGACCCTGTCTCAAAATTTGAAAGGGAGACTGGGGGTGCTGAGAGTATGGCTCAGTGATTAACCACCACCTGGATTCAATTCCCAGTTTAAAAAAAAAAAAATCCAATTTAAGCTCTTCTTCTAAGTTCCAGAGGTAACCATTATGCAATGGTTTTCTAGTATGTTCTATAACTTACAAAGCCAAAGTATCAAAGTAGTTATCTAGAAATACACAATAAATTCACTTTTGCTATTTTGACTACATAATTAACTAGAAACTTGCAGGAACATTGTCTGCTGATTTGGCCTAACACTGACCTGCTTCATATGTTTATGAGTTGAGAAAACAACTCTAAAACTACTCCATAAAAAGAAAGATGGCATCTTTCAAAAAAAAAAAATTCTAACACCTCCAAGATACTAAAATTTTTGCATTTTTACATATTTATGAATTTATGCCCACCTTCCAAGCTTGTCCCCAAGCCATCCACCAAAAAATGATGCAATCATTCCACCAACTGCAAAGCTGGACACAGACAGGGACCAGAGCATGGTGATTAGGCCAGCAGATGCCATAGCCTCTTCCCCAGCTGGTACTAGGTTCCCTGGGTATGTGACTGTGGGCAGTGCCTCTGTGCTGTTGACAGCATAGTTGTTGATAGCCTTTCGGTCATCCAGTGGAATCCCCAAGACATGTCTATAATGGGATATTATTATCTGAGAAAATAAAATAAAKAAAAGTTAATTCAATATTTTGAACATTCTATATACTTTGATTTTTTTCATTAAAATGTTTGTTAGGTATTTAAACAGGACCATTCCATTAATAAACATGGATAGATGTATTTACGTTGATCATATCTTATAAAACAGAGGCCACCAGGAACCAGGCAGGGACAGATAGATGAGTGAAGGAGGCATGGTACCTGGTGACTAGAGTCCTGAAGTGCATATCCACCCCCCCCCACCTCCCTCACCCCCSACCCCGGGGCTAGAATAAGGAGTGTGGGCTTGTGGAATGGTAGCATTTCCTCCACCTAAAGGAGGAAGCTAAAAGGTTAGACTAGTGTTGGATGACCTTTAATTTTTTTAACTGAAACCAGAATTCTAGTTTTTTTTATATTAAACATTTCAGGTTTTAAATTCTGGCAACTCTTTAAATATTGAAAATATTCTTCAAGTTAAAAGATGTGTTTACACCAGAATTACTTCTGCACAGCAGGATTTAAATTAACTTAAATACTGAAATAGAAACATAAAAGAAAAATGATTAGGGAAGATAAGATGAGGGTCAAAAATAAAGTTGGTACTACACAAAATTAAAACACTAGGTATTGTATCCTTGGGAGAATTGAGTTATAAATTTAGCAGTTAACTTCTAGGTGGTCAGTGCAGAGGAAAACAATCAGGTATATGATTGATGAATTACAAAGAAAAACATATCCTAGTGGGCCCTGAGAAGGTACAATGACTGAAGAAAGTTTGTCCTGTGGGTCCTCATAGAGTTCAGTGTGTAACAGAAGGAACGATGTTCAAAACTAAATTTTACAGAGGCATATTTTATAATGTGCTTTGGTAGAGACAAATATGATACCAAAGAAAAATCATGTAGAAATATATCCTTCAGGTCATCTTTCTCCCATGTCATTTTTCTTGCTGATTAGATCACTATTCAGCCATAGTGAGCTGGGGGTCCTCTCTGACAGTTCCTGGAATGTAGTTGCTCTGTATTACCAGTTATAAGGAAAGTCCTGTTTGGTAAAGCCACTTGAGTGAAGGAGAGAATCACTAGATGGCTGCCTTACATGGATAACATGCCATTTAAAAAAAAAAAAAGCCTGGAAGGAAATATTCAGAATGTTCTTAGCAGTTTGCTCTATAACATAGAATTATGGATGTTTTTTTCATATATTTTCTGTGCTAGGTATCTGTAGCTTTAGAATTATAAAAATATGACTTTAAAATACATTCCAAATATCATTCAGCTAATGAAGAAATAGAGGACCTAAATGCCCATTATTATTAATGGTGTTTAAGCAGATCTCTAAACACAGAGGGGTTTGTCAAGAAGGCACTAATCTGATAAATTAGAAGGGTCCCTGTTTTCAGGCTGGGGTTGTGGCTCAGTGGTGGAGCACTTGCCTAGCATGTGTGAGGGCACTGGATTCAATTCTCAGCACCACATATAAATAAATAAGCTAAACATTCGTTGACAGCTAAAAAATGTTAAAAAAAATAATAATGGTCCCTGTTTTTCAGCTCTGACTTAGGAGAGTCAGAGAGATGGGAGATTGAGAGATGGGAGATCTTAGCCTAATATTCATTCTAAGACTGGAGAGGATGGTTAAATAAGATGTAAAAAGGTCTTCCATAAAAATAGAAGTTCTACCAATTTCTCTTTTGAAGTCATGGTAATGTGGAACTGAATTTTAGAAAACTTCCTAAATTGACACTTGTTATCACCCAAGAAAAAAAGATATGAGGGGCTGGATCTGGGGCTAAGTTGTAGAGGGATCGCCTAGCACATGCAGGGCGCTGGGTTCGGTCCTCAGTGCCACATAAAAATAAAATAAAAGTATTGTGTCCAACTACAACTAAAACAATTTTTTTAAAAAAGAAAGAAAGAAAAAAAGATATAAGCCCCGTCTGTTGACCCCGGTATTATTCCCTGGATCTTAGCCATAGTGAGGCTGCCATACTCATGATGGGATGTGGTACTTGTTTTTTGTTTGTTTGTTTTGGTACTGGGGATTGAGCCCAGGGGCACTTAACCACTGAGCCACATCCCCTAATGGGGACACATCTTTTGGCCAAAGGAGAAGCTCTTTTCAGGTAATGGATTGTACCCTATACATTACACACATTCACAACTTGTAGTGTCGAATTTTTCTTGAAGTTCTGTGCTGTAAGAGAAGCAGATGAAACATGGTGGATTCACATGATGTTCAATTTTCATAACTCCACCTTATACCACCCTCTCCCAGGTGTGCTCCCTCTCTCTCTCTCTCTCTCTTCCTCCCTCCCTCCCTCTCCATTATTCATTAACACTTTTTTGAGCACCTTCTGTATGTCAACTATTGTGCTTGACAATAGTGACAGAGGGGGATGAAGTTCTGGTCCCCTCCTTGCCCCCCTTTGTAGGCTATGGGACCTTGAGAGGATAAAATCTCATTTTCTTATATTCTCTAGATAACTGAGTAGAGATGTAAAAAAATAATGAGAACAATGGTAGAAATTACCTGATATACATTTTTAGTTACCAGGAAAATACTCATCATGGAGAAAATCTAAACTTTATTGGATTTTTTCACTCTGGTTCTAAAATTTTGTATTATTTTATGTTGAATAACCCATGGGAGGCAGGCAGGAAGGAAAGGACTGTAACCTTTTTAGTGTTAGGGTTCCTAAAGTTTATAATCTGGCCTGGCAACAGGCCTAATAAAGTTGTTGGGAGGCTTCATTGGGGATAGTTGAAGTACCTGTTGCAGTAAGTGTCCAATAAAGGTTCACTGAGTGAAACATAGCCTTCTGCTGTTTTCGTTATTCTCTGGCATTTTTCATTCATGTATGGATGAGAGCTCTGAAGAATGCTTCAATAAACTCTTTTTCAAAAAACATCCTGAGCATGTGGTACTCTAGTTAGAGATTTCTATGAGCTCAGCGATTAGCAGAGCCAGAGATCAAGAATTAGTTTCACTCTTTCTGGGAGGATTGTTAACTGGAGAGTCAAGGCCAACTTATCAGCTTTGGAACCATGCACATTGTACTTGGCAGGCCAGGATTACCCCGTGTCTACCACGTGGACACTCTTTATCTTATACATGGGGAATATGTGATACTCTCTGGACATGGGGAACTCATAGGACATGCCCCCCAAAGAACTTGTGTATGTTTCACTTGCCTCTTGAGGTGCATTGATCACACCAATGTCATACCCAAACTGGAAGGAACTCAGGGCAGCAGTGAAGACAGCAAAAATCAAAGTTCCAGTGATCTGTGGGATGAAACACAGAGTTGGGAAACAGCAGGCAGTTTCAGCTCCTCATCATCCCATCAGGCTGCAGTGTGGGCTTCTCAACGGCTCCACAGGCTGGTTCTTTCCCCTCGGTATCCACTATGCACTTTGGCAGGGTAGGGGTTATTCACAGGAGAATGTGAAAACCATTCACTTTTCTTACACTTCTAGAACTGAAAAAGGTTTGGAATGGCTTTTCCCAGGGGAGGAACCAAACATCTTTTTCCTTACATATATATTTTTTAGAATTCAGAATCTGAACTGAGAACTAGAATTCTGCWGAAGAAAAAAAATTTGCCAAGATGGAAACATTTATGTTGTTGGGAGAAGTTACATACAATGAAAGGACAGGGAGCTCTCTGGACACTGCCATGTTACAGAAACACTTCAGCACTCATGTAAGAGGCATCAACTAGCCTCACTGTGATCTACCTTAAAGGATTTGCATCTAATTGAGCCTAGAGCCAGGGGCCAACTCCATGAAGCTATTACAGAGCATTTTCATCTCCATCAACCTATAATTATATATCTAACCAACTATAGGAAAATTATATGATACATGCAGATTCACATTTGTGGGTAATGGAAAAATTGTAGAAAGAATTTTGATGTTTTTCAATGACAAATGTCAAATAGATTCAGATACATCCTGGTACATATGTCAGATACATACAATATATTGCATAGCAGTCAAAAAGAATATAAATGTAAAAATCCTTTAAAATGTTAGTAAATAGTAAGGCATGGTGGTGCACATCTGTAATCACAGCTACTTGGGAGGCTGAGGCAGGAGGATCACAAGTTTGAAAGCAGCCATAGCTACTTAGCAGGATCCTGTCTCAAAAATAAAGAATATAAAGGGCTGGGATGTAGCTCAATAGTAGAAAGCTCCTGGGTTCAGCACTCAGYACCATTAAATAATAAATAAATAAAGTGATTGTATGCAATAATTTATTTTTAAGTAGTAAAAGAAGTTGTTGATCATATGAATGTTTTTATAAAAACCTTAAACATGAATATTCTTTGATTTGTGAATGTTGCATAGAATATTTTCTTGAAGAATAAGATGATAATCTTTGAGAAGGAATGTTACATGTTCTTTTATTTATATTATTAGATATTTTATAGAGAAAATATTTGATATATTTAATTATATAATTTAAATTTTTAAATAAAAAGCATGGGTTATAATAGGCACATTGTTGGATGAAGGAATGAATCATGAATTCCAGTTTCCAGTTTTTTACTTCAGTGATATATGACTCAACCCACTTCCTCAATAGGAGCTTTGGTTTTGTCTAAATTGTAGGATGATTATAAATCTCCCCACTCAGGCATGAAGTATAGCTTAGTAACCAGGACCTTGATTTCCCGATAAAGCTGAAAAAGTTATGGAGTCTGTTGGCTCTAAAACCAGACCCCTACTTAGAGAGCTTGTTATGTATGTAGCTTCCAGAGACTTACCCAGACTTTCTGCTGGATTGGAATCTTAAATTGGGGTTGGGAATCTGCAGGTTTACAAAATTCCCTTTCTTTTCACTAATTGTAGGTGTCATCTCTGTAGACTTTCCCTCCCAACAACTTCCTTCTCTGAAATATTTCAAAGCTGACCCAAAATATATGATTATAATATAATATAATATATACACATACCATATTATATATACTATGTTTATTAGAAATAACTAGTATATATTATATCTAAAGTATGGGCATGAACACACACTATATGGTAACAGGATTATGAAAAACTTTGACTATCTGCTAAAATGTAACTATACATCTAGAACCCAGTGGCCAGATAGACAAAGCTAAGATAGGGTACCATTGACTTGCTTGGTGTTTTCTCCTCAAATTCTTTTCCCCTCCAGACTACTAGTTATCACAGCAGTGAGGGCGCCGGGGGCCTGGGAAGGGTTTCAGCCTCCCTCTGTCATGTTCCATCACTCCAGTCTGGACAGCATGGTGTGAGGCACAGTGCAGACACAGCTTCCGTGTCTAATGCTGAGTATCCGTGTTTACTGCATGCCTGCTTACTGCTCTGGGTGGGTTATCTCATGTACTCCTTGTGATTTCTATTGCTGCTCTAACAAATTACCACCAACTCAGTGGTTTAAACAGCACAAACTTATTTATCTTACAGTTCTGTAGGTCAGCAGTCCGGTACGCATCTCAGCAGATTAAAATCAAGGTGTTAGCAGGCTATGTTCCTTCTGGAGGTTGTAGAAGAAAATGTGGGTTGATGGTAGAATTCAGTTCCTCATGGTTGTAGGACTGAGCTGTATAGTTTTCATCCTGGCTGTGAGCTGAGGGCCATTCTCAGCTGCAGAGACCACCATAGTCTTTTGGCTAATGGTGGCCTTCCTCCATCTTCACAACCAGCAATGGCAGGTCCAGTTTTCATGTTGCATCGCTCTGATGCTGAAAACAGTCAGGAAAGTTCTTCCCTTTTAAGAATGCATGGGATTAGATTTGATCTATCTGGACAATCCAGGAAAATCTCACCATCTTAAGGTCTGTAACCTTAATCACATGTGCAAAGTACATTTTGCCTTCTATGTGACCTGACACTAGACTTAGTCCAAGAAAGTTTTGCTTATGAGAGGGAAATTTTTCTGAAAACTACTAAGTCTGAAAAAGCCCCATCAGCCTTTATCCATTCACTCTGATGTTCAGAGTTTGACAGGATATGTACATAAAAAGAAAATAATGAGAACTTAGAGAGGAACTTACTCCATCCAGAATCTGTTATCTTAATAACCCTGTATAAGGAATTGGTGATATAATTTCAAGTATGAGCAAGTGTATATGGAAAGGGCTAGCTGTATAAAGGCCACAACCTAGTGGCAGAAGATCTTCAAGTCTTTTTCTCTAAAGTTCTTCATAGACTACAAGATATTCAGCTGGAACTTCTAAAAGCTGACCTTTAACTTAGAGCTCAATAATTTTAAGTTAGAGAAACAAGGTCCCATATCCAGGTAAAATATACTGCAGGATAAATGTGGAAGGTTAAATTAAGCAAGAAGCTGAACCATAACATAAAACAAAACATGGTATGTGTTTTGTAGCTTAGAAGTCAGATGGTGTCTGTCCAGAAAAAAAAAGTAGATGTGGATTTCATAAAATTAAAAAAGAGCCAGATGTGGTGGCACATGCCTGTAATCCCAGTGGCATAGGAGGCTGAAGCAGGAGGATCGTGAGTTCTCAGCAATGGTAAGGCGCTAAACAACTCAGTGAGACCCTGCCTCTAAATAAAGTACAAAATAGGGCTGGGGATGTGGCTCAGTGGTTGATTGCCCCTGAGTTCAAACGTGCCCCCCCCAAAAAAAAACTAAAAAAGAGTGCTAACTGGCTTCTATCACCCTGAGCCTCAGTTTCTTTGAGTATGAACCACATATAATAATAGTTAATGCATAGGATTACTGTAAAAACTAAAGAAAAACAATTTGGTCTTTCTTTAAAGAAACAAGTGCATCTTTAATTACATTATCATCTCATTAATTGCTTTTGCCACATAATCATGTGCTAACTTTTTATATATTACCAATAATCTTCACAATAATACTATAAATCTGTTGAATTATTCCCAATTTAAAGCTGTGGAAAATAGGGTCAGGGAAGAGTAAGGGGCATGCCTCCCACCACACTGTTCGAGTGTGACAGACACCCTACTATGGGACTCTGAGCTGAGGTTCTTAACTCTCACTGCTAAGCAAAAGAGTAGATTTTCCAGCAACAGTAGATTCACTATGTAGGGAACACAATTTTATGCACTTTCCTCTAAACTACATGCTTCTAAAAGCCAAAGCCAAAGTGATCTTGCACCCAACTTTGGAAAAGCCCAGGGGCTTCTCAAGCTACAGAATATTCAGGCTGAAAAAGAGCATAGAGAGCAATGGATTTTTATCTGTTCTCCCAGTTCTGCTGAAGAAACTGAAGTTCCAGGCCACACCCCTCATGTGAGTTCTATGCACAGTCAGGGCACATCCAGAGCTGCACCCTAGGGCTCCTGACTCACAGTCTGGTGATTATCCTACCCATTTCAAACACTGGGTGGATTCATGAGGCTGAAAACATTGTTCTTCAAATAGGTTCTCATTCTTTGTGGGGTCTGTTATTAGGCAATTCCTTGGTTCTCAAGGAGAGTCCTACAATCTAATTGATAATCCCCTAAGGGAATTTAATTATACTTCTAAATGAACCCTGAGCATCTGCTTTATGCCTGACTCTATGTGAGGCACATTACCTTCCCCTTTGCAAATATCCTCCAAATTTTAATTATTTAAATACAACCTTCATGATTTTTGCCCAAAATACATTCCATCTACATAGTTATTAATTGAATATTAATCTTTATATGATCTTTAAAGTTCCAATTACCTTAGCTTTATCGTGGGCTATAACACCAATAAAATAATGAATGCTAACTATTCTTTAAACTCACATTACATAGACAATTATTATCATTAAAAAACTGTCATTTAAGGTGCCTTTCTACTACTATCATTTAATTATTCTCAAAACTAAAGTACTAGGACAATCCCTGAATAGGGCATATTATATCCCAATATGTTCTTATTTTATCATAGTATATAAAACCAAAAGCTCAATTGAATAACTTAACCCAGGTCTCACAGCAGGGAGGCAGATCTGCTAACACCCGATCTGAACCTGGCTGACTCCAGAACTCCTGCTCCAAACCGTGCCACTCACTGACAGGCAGGACTGCTCAGCAGAGCAAGAGTGATCAGGTCAGAGCTTAAAGGTCCTACTCTAACACAGACACAGGTTTATCAGCTGTATGACTGTACAGGGTGGATGGGTTTGGTCGGGGCAAACTTATAAGGAATCAAGAGTGTACATCCCTTAAATTTTTTTTATTGTGAAAAGCATCATATCTACAGAGAAGATGAACTAGTAATGCAGTTAACACGCCATAGTCTTCACCTATATTCACCAGTGGTTAACATTTACATTCATTTAACTCTCACTGTGTGTGTGCGTGTGCACGTCTGAACTATTTAAAAATAAGCTGCAGTTATTTCTGTCATCTCATTACTAAATATTTCAACGAGTACTAAAAACAAAGCCACCTTCCTACATGATTGCAACACTATTATCACCTCCAAGAATGTACTATTGACATGTTCATATTAACTAAGGTAGAGTTCATATTCGAAAATTTCCAGCTATCCGCATTTGTCCCACACAGCTGTTTTCTTCTTCCATGACCTAAGGTCACATGTCACATTTCATTGTCCGTTCTTCTTAGTCTCTTTTAACCTAAACAGTCCTTCCACTTCTTTGGTCTTTCATGCACTGACATTTTTGAAAATTCTAGATCAGTTTTTATGGTTGTATTCAGGTGAATCTATCCTGTGTGGGGAGAGTCACATTCCTTCAGCAAGGTGGTTATGCAGAATTACTTGAAAAAAGTTATGCGGACTAGTCAGAAAACAGCAATGTCCTTAAAACCCCAGTGATTGAATAAGAAACTGTTTGTTTGCTTTTTTAAAGCGGTCAAATTAATGATCAGTTGGCCAAATAAAGGGAAATAGCCTTGATCTGTGGTAGCTTCACCCAGCATCCCCAAACCCTCTTACTGACTTGAACAGATTCTCCTATTCATTTCCTCAAAGTCAGATTCAAAGAGAACCTTATTCAAAGATAAGGTGCTGCTTTACCTTATCTTCTGTCATTGTACTGGGCTGGAGTCCTCCTCTTAATTCCAGGTCCCGTGTTGAGTGTGTAGTGACAGCCCCTGCCTGAATGTCCAAGCTCTAGTTATACATTGTAGGAGGAGGAGCAAGGTGAGGGAGGAGCAGGGCTACCTCAAACCAAGAGTCCAAGTCTAATCTTCCCAAACAGAGGCTGAATATTGATGGAAGCTAATCAATAAATCCTTTGCTTCAGCGACCTGGGGCAATACCTTTGTTCCATCAGGAAAGAAAATGGGCACAGATCTTTTTAGGAGTAAATTACAAACCAGAGGTGATCACATGTGTTAAGTATGGCAATTATGGGGATCAGGAGAAAGGAGGAATCTGGGGGGTCTTTTGTAGAAGCTGAAATATGCTGGGTTGTCATGCTGTGTTATGGGAATGACAAAGACAGGGACATGGGAGGCAAATACACTCTTCTCTATGGAGAACCAGTACTGTGGAGTTTGTGCTTCAGAGCTGGGCTGGGTGGCCAGAGGCTGTTACAGACTTAAACAGTACTTGAATGAGCTTCAGAGAGTAAAGGGCTTGGGTTTGAATCTCAACACTTTATTGATGGTGACCTTAAACAAGTGGCTTCTTGTGACTTTTCTGTATGTACCTTTAGTTTCTTTACCTGATAAAATGGAAATAACAGAACACACACTTTGTTGGGGGGCGGTTAAATGAGATAATATATGAAAGTGTTTGGCACACCGTTTGGTTCAGCAAATGGCAACAGTTGTTGTTATTACTATTATTATTATTACTGATTCACTATATGTCAAGATGCATTTTCTGGAAGTGACAGTTCAGCATTCTCAAATCTGCTCATGTATCTTTTCTTGGATCTATGTCACAGAGGTATCCTCTGTGATATGAGCAGACATCAAAATAGATTAAGCTTTAACTGTGCAGGCAACTAGGGTCACTGGGGCTCAAATGAAACCAGTTTGCAGCAAAGGAAATATAACAGCAGCAAAAGAAGAGGCACTATGAAAAGCCAGGGACGAGAAAGTAAGGGGACAGAGAAAACTCAGATCTCTTTCTTTTTTCCACATTTTTTTCTTTTCTTTCGCTTTTTCAAGGTGACACACACCTGCATGTTTAGTTTCTGAAGGTGAATAATTTTACATTTAAACCACAATCTTTAATGGAGCCCAGCACAGCTCTGAAGTTGCATGACATAAATAAGCTGCAGCCTCCTCTGGCTCAGAGTTTATGATGTGTAAGGTGAGATGTATGTAAACACAAACACACAATACAATAATTTCTTAGTGGAAAAGCATGAACGCACGTAAACAGTAATGACAATCTTTATTGAATTCTTGCTCTGTGCCAGGTGCTGCTCTCAGCACTGACTTGGACTAGTTTGTCTACTCATAACAAGGAGGTCCTCTAGTTGGTAGAGCAAAGCTTTGACACAGCTTTTACACACTCAGGTAACGGCACTGACTTTCGTCCCCGTTTCTCGGGTGATGCGCAGGCTTCAATGTCACAGCAGTCTGCAATCAGAAGAGGTTCTTCGGCAGTCGTTTTCCAGCGGCAAAAACCGCGAGAAAGAGGGTTGTGGGGTCGTAACAAATACAGTTATCCTCTGCTGTTTACCTACCTTAGTCTTTGGAACTCTCCTTTTAAGTTTGCAGGAGCGCAGCGCTAGGCAGATGAGCCCGTGACTTCCAGGGCTAAGTCCCTGCGGGCACCTCGGGGCTGCGGGAAGTAGTCTCCTTTCTCATTGGCTGCGCCACCTGCTACTCATCTCGAGCCACGCTGACCGGCTTCTTCTGGTTTAGTCCGGGCTTCTCTTGTTCTGCTCTTGCTCAGAAATGAGTAACGTCTGTAGTATTTAGGGATGGGCTAAAACTATCTCCCGCGTAGAGGTCCAGGGATTAAGTCACACCCGTTCTGCTGACTGACTTGGTTCTGGRAGAACTGGTATTTGATTCCATTCCTGGAGAATTGACCTTCGCATTCACGCACTCACCTTAGGAGCTGCAGGTCCTATCACGTAGGTGTTTCCAGTTTCTTGGCTGTAAGATAAAGTCAGGCTGTGGGTACTGAGCTGTCGTGATGGGGTCTACTCAGCGAGTGTCCAGAATCACCCAAGAGACCCGCTTGGCTGGGGAAATCAGTTCTTTTGACTTCACACTTTCAAATCTTCCAGATCTCATCATGACTACTTCATTAACTAGCAGATGCCAAAGGTTCTAAGTGGTGACGGCCAGAGAAGAGAACCACCACACCTTTTCTCCCCATTGTTACCCTTCCTTTCAGTAAAATCAGAGTGGTTTCTTTGCTAAAATAGAAGGAAAGAAAATGAGCCTGCTGCATTCCTTTCTGATTGGGGGAAAGTGTCCCATAAGGTAGAAAGGGTCTCTTTGGACCTACATCAGTGAGTTCAACTCACTTGGCCAACCCAGGCATTATCCAACAGAATATCTGAAAGTCTGAGTCCCTGAAGAAAGTCAATGTATTTTTAAAATTTCTGACCCAAATTTGGCACTGTAGGATACCAAAGAGCAAAGGTAAACTGTGCACACCCTTATCTGTCTCATCCTTTCCACAGATACCTCTCTGGTCCACACCATCAGCGTCTCTCCTGTGTGTCTGCAAAGCTCTTCATTGGCCTCTTTGCTCCCACTCTTGCCCCACGGTAACTTCTTGGCACAGAAATCAAAATTGATACAAAAAGTTAAATCAGATCACAATGCCTCCTGTTTTAAAGTCTCTCCAGGCCTCCAGGTTGATTTTAGATGGAAACCCACATTCCTTACTATGGCCCAAGAGGCTGATTTGATGTAGGTCCTGCCTGACCCTGAGACTGTCTTTCCTCCTCTGGGTCCACCCAAACTGACCTCTAATATGTCCTAGGTGCAGCATCCACCTATTGGAGGAGCCTTGCTTGGAGAGCCTGTCCCCATGCTTGAATCCCACTGGTTTCTCTTCACTCAGTTGAAGGCTCAGAGAGGAGAGGACCCCCCACCATTTTGCAAAAGATAGTTTCCACCTTCACTCTCCAACACATCCCAGCCTGTCACTCAACTCTATTTCCTTCCTAGCACTTATGCTTGAGATTTTATTACTAATTTGTCTATTTAGTATGTTTTCCACTCTCCCTACCAAATCTAAGTTCTAGGAATGTGGACACCTTGCCCATATCATTTTCTCTGTTGCCTATAATAGTGCCTGGTGCATAGTAGACACTCAGTAAGTATTTGTCTAATAGAAGTCCAAATGAATTGCCACTCCTACACAGGGAGCATCTGAAACTGTAATTGGGACTTTTTTTTTTTATTCTGCTACCAAGGACTGAATCCAGGGGTGCTCAACCGCTGAGCCACACCTCCAGCCCTTTTTAATATTTAGAGACAGAATCTTATTAAGTTGCTTAGAGATTCACTAAATTGCTGAGGCTGGCTTTGAACTCCCCATCCTCTTGCCTCAGCCTTCTGAGCTGCTGGGATTACAGGTGTGTAAATTGGGACATTTATTGATTTAACATTCAATAAATGTGATATTTACAGAATATTTTGCCAGGCATCAGTTCCAACCGTGAACAGCATATACGGGGTCTCTGCTCTTGTGGGCTGACATTCTATGAAATAAGCAAAAAGAATGCTGAGGAAGAGAACAATAATAGGATATGCCCACTTTAGAAAAGATACCCAGGGACACATTCTCTATAGAAGTGACTTTTTCCTTGAGGCCTGAAGAATGGGCAGGTAAGATGCAGGGGGAAACTATGTATGGATTTTGAGAAAGGAAGAGTCTTACATTGAAGAAGAGAAATTTGGTGAAACTAGGGGAGCAAGAGAAAGCAGAAAGGGATAGCATCGGCGAGATAGACAGCAGCCATGGTCATTCGACCATGGGAATGAGTTGAAATCCATCTGAGGAGCACGGGGAAATCACTGGAGGGGTTAAGCAAGGGAGTGATGATTCAATATATGTTTTAAGATTACTTCTGCTGTTGAGTGAGGAATGGGTTGGTATCCAGGAAAGAGGAGAGAAAAAATTGCAAAGCTGTGGCCACAGTTCATGCTTGCTAGTGACCACCAATGGTGGTAGAGAAAGAGAAGTCATAAATTCATGATATGTTCTGGTGGGTAAAACAGATGGTTAATGTACATAATTATTTTTTGGAAAGGAAGAAATGGGAGAACTCAAGATGACAGGTTGTTTTCTTGCTCATTCAACTAAGATAACGCTGAAACCATTTAATATTATAGGTGATTGTTTAATCATCTGAGTAGTAACCCAGGTTTATCCCCCACACCTCATGTAGATCACAATATAATAATCAGATACAATTTGTTCCACTTGTAAAAAAAAAATAAAAATTTTGAGGTAATTGTAGATTCACCTGCAGTAAGAAGTAACACAGCACAGTACACTTTAGCCTATTTCCCCCAGTGGTAACAGTTTGCAAGACTATGGTACAATGTTACAATCAGGATATTAATATCAGTAGTATTAGATCCAGAAAATTCTGTTGGMATAAGAATCCCTCATGTTGTCCTACTATAACCACAACTATTTTCTTACCCTCAAGGACACAAATTCTGGTAATCGATAACTCTTTTCCTCTTCCTTAGTTCTGTCATTTCAAGCAAGCTATCAAAATGGAATCATATAAGGTGTTTATCAGTCATGGTTCTCTGGAGAAATAGAACCAATAGGATGTGTGTATACAGGAAGATATTTATTTTAAGTAATTGACTTACATGATTATGAAGGCTTGGTGAGTCCCAAATCGGATGGGAGAGGCTGGCAAGCTGGAGACTCAAGGAAGACTTGGAGTTTGAGTCCAAAGCCAGGATGCTGGAAAATCAGGAAGAGTAGATATTGCAGATATAGTCCAAAGACAGTCTCTGGAGAATTCCCTCTTGCTCAAGGGGCGTGGGGGTAAGGTGGGGTGGGGGTCAACTTTTTGGTCTATCATGTCTTCACTTGATTAGATGAAGTTCCTTTTAGAGGACAATGCTTTACTCTGGGTCTACCAATTTAAATGTCTTATTTAAAAAATCTTCACAGA